GTAACCTTGTTGCTGGTATCCTTAAGATTTATATTGACTGTTTCCCTATGACTATCATTAAGTGTTGTACCTTATGATTCTTGATGAATGTATCTTTTCTTTTATGTACACCGAGAGCATATACACCAAGACAAATTCCTTGGGTGTCCAATCACACTTGGCCAATAAAGAATTCTAGATGCACAAAAGACATACTAGGGATTAAGAGTAAGAATTACAAATTTTATGCTCGTTCTGCACACTGAAGGAACTGTGGATAGCATTTTACTCAGTTGTGAGGAATAGCTAGCTAGTGTTTTGTAACATACTTATTTCCATATTTTCCATACTTTACCTTCAACAGCAAGGCATAAGGAATCCCCCCACCCAAAAGGGAATAATGCTCCTCTTTCCTAAAGTGGAATCTCAGCCTAGAAAAGACTGATTTGAAAGGGGGGAGTGTTTTTATTTATTTATTTATTATTTTATTCATTTTGTCAAATATGTATAAGATAACAGGTATAATATAAACATGGGAATGAACATAGGAAATGAGTACAAATAAATGGGGACAGTAGGACAGGGACGGTAGGCACGCTGGTGCACTTATGCATGCACCCTTTACGGACCGCTTAGGAATAGGGTGAGGTCCACGGTAGACAGTTTAAGGTTGAAGCTGTGGAGGTTTGAGGCTGTAACAAAGAAATCAGGTAGAGCATTCCAGGCATTGACCACTCTGTTGCTGAAGCCGTATTTTCTGCAATCGAGTTTGGAGTGGATTGATTTATGTATGTATGTATGTATGTATGTATGTATGTATGTATGTATGTATGTATTTATTTATTTATTTATTTATTTATTTATTTATTTATTTATTTATTTATTTAATTTTTATACCGCCCTTCTCCTGAAGGACTCAGGGTGGTGAACAGTTAAAATAACATACATATAAAATCTGAATATAAGATGATTAAGCCAATTTGGTTCATCGGTTAAGAATCTTCAGCATAAACATTTACAACAATTAGAAGAGATTTATGCCAGCCCGGCTTGGTGAAACAGAAAAGTCTTAAGTGCATGACGGAAAGTACGAAGACCTGGGATCATTCGTATCCCTGGGGGTAACCTGTTCCAAAGGGTAGGTGCCCCCACAGAAAAGGCTGTTTCTCTGGGAACCACCAGTCAACATTGCTTTAGTGATGGCACCCTGAGGAGGCCCACCCTGTGGGAGCGTGCTGGTTGGTGGGAGGTTATTGGTTGCAGAAGGTGGTCTCGTAGATACCCAGGTCCTAAGCCATGGAGCACTTTAAAGGTAAGAACCAACACCTTGAAGTGCACTCGGAAGACCACCGGGAGCCAGTGCAGCTTGCGTACATGTGAGCGCCATGTCACTCCCAATATCACCCGCGCAGCTGCATTCTGGACCAGTTGGAGCCTCTGCATGCACCTCAAGGGGAGCCCATGTAGAGAGCATTATAGTAGTCCAGACGGGAAGTGATGAGGGCATGAATGACTGTGCGTAAGGAGTCCCGATCTAGAAAGGGTCGCAACTGACGAATCAGGCAAACCTGATAGAAAGCTCCCCTGGCCACGGCTGTCATATGCTCTTCTAAAGACAGCCGTGTGTCCAGGAGGACACCTAAGTTGCGAGCCCTCTCTGTGGGGGCCAATGACTCGCCCCCAATAGTCAGCGATGGTATCAGCTGGCTATATCTGGATGCCGCAGCCACAGCCACTCAGTCTTGGAAGGGTTGAGTCGGAGCCTGTTTCTCCCCATCCAGATCCGCACAGTTTCGAGGCACCGGGACATCACTGCAAGGGCATCATTGGGGTGGTCTGGGGTGGAGATGTACAGCTGAGTATCATCAGCGTAAAGATGGCACTGCACCCCAAAACCACGGATGAGCTCACCCAGTGGCTTCACATAAATGTTGAACAGAAGAGGTGAGAGGACCGACCCCTGCTGCACCCCACAAATAAGGTGTCTTGAAGTTGACCTCTGCCCTCCTGCCAACAAAGACTGTGACCGGTCAGAGAGATAGGAAGAGAACCACCGTAGAACAGTGCCTCCCACTCCTAGCCCCTCCAGCTGGTGCAGCAAGATACCATGGTCAATGGTGTCAAAAGCCACTGAGAGATCTAATAGAACCAGGATAGAGGAGCAACCCCTATCTCGAGCTCTCCAGAGATCATCAACCAATGCCGTTTCAGTGCTGTAACCAGGCCTGAAGCCGGACTGGAACGGATCTAAGTAGACAGTTTCATCCAGGTACTGTGGGAGTTGCTGTGCCTCCACACTCTCAACAACCTTTGCCACAAAGTGAAGGTTGGAGACAGGACAGTAGTTTGCTAGAATAGCCGGGTCCAGAGAGGGCTTCTTGAGGAGGGGCCTCACCACCGCCTCTTTCAAGGCAGAAGGCAAGAAACCCTCACACAGAGAAGCGTTTATAATCCTCTGGAGCCAGCCTCGTGTAACCTCTCGGGAAGCCAGTACCAACCAGGAGGGACACGAGGTTTACCTTGAGTTTGTATTTATTATTTGCCCAAATATTATTGAGGTTGAAGCTGAAGTAGTCGTTGACAGGTAGGACATTGTAGAAGACAATTTTGTGTACTATGCTTAGATCAGACCGTAGGCGACATAGTTCCAGGTTGTCCAGGCCCAAAATTTCGAGCCTGGTGGCATAAGGGATTCTATTGTGAGCAGAGGAGTGGAGTATTCTTCTCGTGAAATACCTCTGGACCTGCTCAATTGTATTAATGTCTGTGCAGATTCCAGACAGACGAGCTATATTCGAGAATTGGTCTGGCAAAGGTTTTGTATGCCCTAGTTAGCAGTACAATGTTACTGGAAAAGCAGCTTCGCAAAATTAGGTTAACAACTCTTAATGCCTTTTTGGCAATGCTGTTACAGTGAGCTCTGGGGCTTAGATCGTTTGAGATGAGTACTCCTAGGCCCTTGACAGAGTGAGGATTGTCTATGGAGTCGTATCCTCCCAGCTTGTATTTGGTGTTCCCATTTTTGTTGCCAATGGGTAAGACAGAGTATTTGTTAGTTGAGATTTGGAGTTGCCAATTGCGCAATCATTCTGACACATAGTCAAGATCTCTTGACTAGGGCAGCAGTATGGTCGGTGGTGTTAAATAGTTTTACATCATCAGCGAAGAGAACACAGCTGCTTATAATATGATTGCAAAGGTCATTTATCAGAAAGAGTGTGGGTCCTAAAACGCTGCCTTGGGGGACACGGCTGTTAACTGGTGCCGGGTTTGATAGGGTGTTCCCTATTTTAACTATTTGTTGCCTGTTTGACAGGCTATCCACTTGTGCAGGGATTCTGAAATATTGTAAGAGCTTAGTTTTATCAGTAGTTTGTTGTGTACCACTGAATTGCAGAAGTCTATGTAAATTACATCCATTGCTTTATCCTGGTCGAGTTGTGTTGTCCAAATGTTTCTGCAGTGTAGGAGTTGTAGATTACAGGACAAATTTTTCCTGAAACCAAACTGCTTGTTAGAAAGCAGGTTGTTTGTCTTTAAGTGGAGGGTGATGGATTGGTTTATAATTAATTCCATGACTTTACAGGTGACGCAACACAGTGAGATTCGTCTGTAATTTTCTACTAGGCTGGGGTCCCCCTTTTTGAAGATAGGAATGACCGTGGCTAATGACCATCGGTCGGGCAAGGAGCTGTTTCTGAAAGATACCTCATAGATTAATAATAATAATAATAATAATAATAATAATAATAATAATAATAATAATAATTTTATTTATATACCACCCATTCTCCCCAAGGACTCAGGGCGGTGTACAGCCAGAATTAAAATACAAATATACAAATATACAATATCCTAGTTAAAATTAATTAAAATCATTAAATAATTTTGGCTGAATTTTAAAACCCAAAATTAAAACCCAATTTAAAATCATTCAATTTGACAGCCTGCCTGTCGGAAGAGTAGGGTCTTGAGGGCACAGCGAAAAACCCTGAGATCAGAGATGTTACGAATATCCGGGGGCAATTCATTCCAGAGGGCAGGAGCTCCCACAGAGAAGGCTCTCCTCCTGGGTGTCGCCAGCTGACATAACTTGACCAACGGCACCCTGAGGAGTCCCTCTCTGTGGGAGTGAACTGGTCAGTGGGAGGCTGTTGGTGGCAGAAGGCGGTCCCGTAGATATCCTGGTCTTATGCCATGGATTGTGCTTAGAGGTTCGACTATGGCAGTGGAGAGCTTTAGAGTATCGCTTTAGAGATTCCTGCAAACTTTCCTAAGCACCTGAGACTAACTTGTGAAGACACAAGCATCCTAAGAGCTGAACAAATCAAACCTCCTATGTCATACTTTGAAAAGGAAGAGAACTAAGAGCTTGCCTTCACTAGCATTTCTTAGAGTAAGAAACTCTTGCAGTTACCTTTGCTCCAAGCTGGAGACAAAGGTATATGCTAGATGGCCATGCAAGAAATTGCTAGTGGAGAAAATCAAGGGATGTTAGAGCTGACTACTTCAAAAGGTGAAAGAGGCCAACTCTGAAAAGTGGGCGACTGTGCATTTTGTTCTTTTAGATTTAGAACTTATTTTTCTATCAAATTTAGGTAACATACAACTTCTTTATGTGGATCCATCTATTGATAAAGAGTGTCCATCCCTCTGTTTTGTGGGACACAATGGCCTATAGGAGAAGGTTATCTTAATATTCACTATTATCACATCAAAAGAAGAGGGTGAGGTTAACGAACCCATTCGTAATAAAAGTAGTGATATGAGAGATTTGGTGTTTATGTGTAGTGTGTGTGTGTGTGTGTGTGTGTGTGTGTGTGTGTGTGTGTGTAAACCAGTTATGACAAAGCTCCTGAAAACCAAACTTGAAAGAAGAGCCTCCAGAGTGTAAAAGACTAGGAAGCTTCTCCAGCGCTAGTCAGAGGGGAGGGGAGAGTAACTACGTGGGGTTGTAAATTCTGTTTAGATTTACATAAAAGGGGAGGTCCGAGTGGTAAGGAGACTCATCAGCATCGGCTTCAGAGTTATTTAGAGTGAGGACCGTCTGTTGTCGCTTAAGAGAATAAGTCGGCTTTTTTGCTTTCCTAAAAGGAAACTTAAAGTGGACGAGCAGGAGAACCCTCAAAAATTTCTCCCGGGGGTTCGGGAGAATAAAGCTTCCTGGTCCATCGAGGCGGGAGAAGAGGCGGCTTTGGATTTAAGGTGGGAGGGAAGGGGCGGAAGAGCTCCAGTCCTCAACCTTTCCGGAAAACTGTGTTCATCTGCTTCAGCTCCGGACCCCCAGCTCAGCCGGGCCCGTCCTAAGCGCACCATGACCGAAATTACCGAAAAGGAGAACGACCCCCAACACAGCACGGATGCGCAGCAGACCCCGAGCACCGGCTCCAGCCTGCAGGAAACAAAGGTAGCCATCTCCCTCCCTCTTTCCTTCCCTCTCTCTTCTAAACTAAGCGAGTTATTGATTGGCGCACTTTCTGAGCCTCCGTCTCCTCCTACAGCGGAGCTCTCCTTTCCCAGGGCGACTCTCCGGATCGAGGAGGCAGCGAGCGCTTGTATACCGTGGAGATGTTTTCTCCTTGGTTGTCTCCACAGAGCCTCTCGTCCATTCTTCCGCCCCGCCCCGCTCCATAACTAGTTCTCCACGAGCCCCGAGCGTCCGCGTGTCTCCCCCCTTGCCCGGTTCCACCAGTCCCATCTTTTCAGCTCCGCGCTTCCTCCTCTTTCGCCTGCCTTTTCTCCCTGCAGTAGCCAAGCCGCGTGCCATCCTGCTGACTGTTTCATCACAACCGCAGTACTGTATAATCCCTTTGAAGTAAGCGGGCAGCACGCTCTTTTTGCCCCTTCGCTCATCTGGCGCCCTCTAGATGTGTTGGATTACCGGACCGATAGCCTGCAACCTATCTGGAGAGTGGTGTAGATCATTGCTAGATATTTCTGGGGATTCCTCTTGGGCTGTGTGCATGTGGCATGGTGGGTTACAATTGTATGGGATGGGCAGATGGGGAAAGAGAAGAGAGAGCTGTTTACCATCAAAAGACACTTCCGAATCTTCCCAGCCTGGTGACTGATTTTTTCCTTTATTAATCTGAATGCTGGATATAGGAACGGATATAAATATTTATTGACATTTAAGTAGAGAAGCACTCTACTTTAAACATCTGAGTTAGGTATTTATTTTCTATGTCCCATTTATAATCTGAAGGCCAAGTTGTAGGGCAGATAATTATATAGCTGACAGTAAGAGATACAGTAATGCAATAGTGCGATCTCTTTGAAGTTGGGATTTTTAAAAACATAATCAAAGCTGGAAAATGGTTGTATATCCCCATTGTCATTCTCTCCGCCTGATAGCCTTAATGTCCAATTTAAAAGGTAAATGGGATTACCAAGAAATATTGTACAATACATACGTGTTTGTGAGGATCTAAAATATCACTTCAGTGTTATCTATGAAATAAGTGCAGGAGACTGGGGATAAGGGCACTGTCATTCAGTACACACACACACACAGAGAGAGAGAGAGAGAGAGAGAGAGAGAGAAATTGGAGGAGATTGAATTTGAAAAGGTTAGTAGCTTGAAATCATAATAATATCTAATTCTGAAGGAAGGTAGTCTTGGGGAGAATAGGAGCTTTGGAAAGTAGCAAAAATTAGCTCTGTATATGTGTGTCTGTTCACATGCATGTGTCAATGCAGCAGGGTGACTTATTACCACATGCTTTAATTATAGGCTTTGTGTTATAATAGTTGTGTTCTTTTGTGCCTTAGGAACATGCTTTAAAGGGGAGAAGGGGAAGAAGATGGGGAACAAAATTATTTTGCTATGGAAGAAAAAAATGCTTGAACTATATCAGCATTTCATTGCAAGAACAGCTAAGGAAGCCACGCACCCAGTGGATAGCATAATGTTCTTTCTTTGCTGCTTATTTCCTAGATGCTTCTAGCTTACAGAAGAATATTACTTCTGTACATGGAGGCTCCACTAATTCAATTGGCTAATTGGCCTATTCTCCCTTCATAAGAAGTATGCATATTGTCCCTGTTTGTTTGCTTTCTTTTACATAGGTGATAACATTTCCACTTTGAAGAAAGAACATGTGGCCAGTGCAATACTGAAAAGAAGTGTTGACTTCTCTAGAATTTAGTTTTGGCAGCCCAATGCTTACTCCCTCTCTGCTAAAGTGAAAATGCACTCAACAACGTCAACACTTCTTTTTCCTGTTCTTACACTCCTGAGACCTGAAACCAAAAATAGACATTAGGGACTGCTATACCTAGGAGAGTGTGGTCTGAAAAGAAGCTTGATACATATATTAGAAACCAGATTTAAAAGGCAATCAGATGAACTTTTTCCAACCAAGCACTTTCCACGTATGTCAGACTACAATTTCCATAAACCTCAACTCCATATGGCTGAGAACAATGGGATGTGTAATCTAATATATCTGGAAAGCCAAGGAAGGCATTTCCAAAGCCTGACCCGTTATGATCAGTTACCTGAAACTGCAGGCGCAGTCCAGAATCGTGTGTCAAAATTTGGGTTGTGACAGAAGAAATAAGAATTTCAGTTATCAAAAATAAGGGGTGTTTTCAACCCACTCTGGTTGTTACTAACGTATGCTGTGATGTGGAATGTGCAGGCTCATTCTGCTACCAGTTTAGAGCCCTGCTGATGTCAAAACTGTGACGTTGGTTGATCATGCACAAAACAGCTCGAGTGGGTTTAAAATTCTAGGCAACACGTGCAGTTCCAGCAGTGATGCTGCATCTTCTACCCCTGTCAAATTTGTACTACCAATAAAAGATGCTTCTGTGTGTGTGTGTGTGTGTGTATGATTGTCTCTGGCATGCACAGCAGAATATGTTCCTACTTTACTCTGCAATTCACTCACTAGGAAGTTACCTCTGTAAGGCAGGAAACGGATGCAGTGCTATGCAGGTTCCCTATGTGGGTGAAGAATTCCCACATGCCTCTGAAATCTATGTAATGTCTGGCACTTTTCCTCTCATATTATCAATTGCTTATCATTCTCTAGTCAAGCTGCTGGCTGTCCACCACCAAATCTGTGGGGTGAGTCCACTGTTGCTTTAGAGGCTGACAGAAACGAAGGAAGACTGAGGCTGTTTGTGCCATACAACCCAAGAATTTTGACTTGCCTTAGTTGGAATCGTCCGTCTGACCTGCACTGACAGCAGCAAATCCCACTGATACCCCTCTTCTCCTTTAGCAGAAATGTAATTACCATTACTGAGTAATTAACTATGTGCTGCCCTTTTGTGACACTTACAATCATTCTGCCTAATGGTATAGACACCCATGATTTCAAGGACTAATAAGAAAAAGAGTCACATTTTTGAATACTTTTGTGATGGGTGGGAGAATCATTCTCTATCTGAAGAATGAAACTTATCAGTGGAATGGCACAGGCCTAGCCTTCTCCTTGATAGGCTATATTTCATAGCAGAAAGAAGCTGATGGGAGTATGTATTTGAAAAGCAGAAAGTCAGAAGAAATAATCAAGAATGCACCCTACTCATCCATAGTGCTCCTTCATTCCATTGTCTGGACAAAACTGAGTAGAAACAAAGGCAAGAGTCACTAGGAATGCAAAGAATTAAAAAGGAATAAGGGGCAAAGGTTATGATAAATTAGGGAAGACTTTCCCTCTACTTTTTTTTCTGACTAATCCCCATTTCGTGAATCTACTATTTCACTTCCATAAAAAGCAATGTAGAATGTGCCACCTGAATTTCCTTTATGAAAGGAATCACAGCAGGGGGAGGTGATAATTTTGAAGTGGGAAAAATAGTGTTATGGGATGGGAGAGAGGAGAGTTAATTCAGATTTTTTGTCCATTCCCACAGTCACGGTTGAATTTCTTGCTCCATCTCTGAAGCTGCCTGTGGTTTCTTTAAAGACTCAGGTAGATCTACTAAGTCTGTGAGTATTTGTGCACTAAGTTGTACTTTTAGAGCAGCTTTTTCAAATCTGATATTCTCTGTTTTGGAGGACTCCATGTTGGGGAAGATTGATGTATGTAACTATCGTATTCAAAAGGATCCCTTAAATGCCGCCCTAAGGCAAAACAGGAAAATTATAACTGTTCATTTGATATCTTTCCTTAGTGATACTTCTTAAAGATCTGTTAGCCTCAGGCCAACATATTAGGCTTGCTTTGCAGAATTGTTTTGAACGATGTACCTCCTTTCCTCTTTTCTCCCCAATTTCCCTCCCTTTTTAAAGATTTTTCCTTGGTCAATCCAGTTGTTTAGCCAACAGCCTATCTATGGATTTGGTTGCAGCTCCTTCTGAAGGAGTTCTGGGTTGGTTTTGTTGTTTTGTTGGGGAGAGACGTTTAGCAGCCAAAAAAATATCTCCACTGGAAATAAACTGATTAAGCACCCAAATATTCCTGATGTTACAAAGATTAGCTTTTCCCATCTCCAGGGGAGGCAGTTTGTCCTGACGTAAACCTGATGAAGTTTTCTAGCTAACCCAAGGATTCCTTAGGAAGCTCTTTGGAAATATGGTTCTTTGTTTGCTCCCTCCCTAGAAAACAAATTTTCCCATCTTTTAAAATTTTACTTAAGGACAAGATATCTCATTGGAACAGGGATAGTACATAAAGATTCTGCACATTTATGATACATGAGGGAAATTTGATGGCTTTTACAATAGCACATTGACTAGGATGAAAGACTCAGTTGAGCAGACCTGAGAGATTTCTGCTAATCTATACTTTTTTTTTCCTTTTCTCTATTCTGGTTACAGGAAGATTTATAAACAAATGTCTGTAAAATTCCAGTACAATTATGGTAATCTACTTTTGAGAAGATGGGGTTGTATAGGTTAAAGGAGTTGTGTAATATTTCCCTGTTCTCAACATATAATAAAATAAAACAAAATTCCAGGACATTTCCACACCATTCTGCTTTAGACCTGAATTAATTTGAATCATATTCTCTTTCCTGGAGTGAAATTGATTTATTTCTGACTCTAGTCCAGTTTATTGGAAACCACTGAAAACGGGCACTTTCCTTTGAACTGCTATTTCTCCGCAAATCTCACAGACAATCTGTTTTCCATTTGGCAGAAGGACCCTGACTCCAGGGAATAAATTGTCATCATGGTTAGGGTCTTATTCCTGAAGCTTTCCTCTCTCCTCATTGCCTCCCCCACAATAAAAGTGGTGAATTTTCAGCAGTAAAAACTTGGGAGGATGGAATCACTCAGATATCCTTCCTTCCTTGGATATCTGCAAGAGGGATATCTGCAAAAGGGACCTAAAGGCTTTGGGAATGGACATTAACAACTGGGAAACCTTGACCTCTGATCGTTCAGCTTGGAGGCTAAAGACGTAGCATGGCCTTCTCCAGTTCGAAGAGACACTTGTTCAGCAGGCT